GATTACAGAGCTGCAATCATTTGTGTCTGTTATGTCTGTCTGGAGTTTAGGGCTTCATATAGATATGCGCTCAGGGGGAGTGGTAAAATAATGCAGCTGAGCTGAAATTACCTGACATGTAGCACTCAGTGGGTGGCAAGTCCGTTAAATGCCACACATTCAGGCGAACTAGGAAGTGCCACAAACACCCTCCAAATTCGTGCAATGACACAGTTGCAGTGTGTTTGTTGGTAAAATGTGGTTAAATCAGGCACTGAGAGTGTCACATCACCTCCTCCTGGCCTGTCCATCACCTCTGAAAAGCGATCTGATTGTGGATTGCGCTTCAGAGGAGAGGTAGATTTAGATGCATGAATATACACAGAACAAATATTAGATTGAATACCCATGCAGTCCACAGGCAAGGCGCTCTCTGCATTTTGGACACATTATTATGTAAGAGTCAGAATATGGTACACTGAATGGAATTTCTGATTTTAGCTCAGCTTGCAAGGTAAATTTTTGCTTAGCGGGTTAGCGTGTAGATTAACACTTGATTTTTTTTTTTTTTGGGGGGGGGGGACATTTTTTTCTGACGCATAACGCTCATACATCTTGTGAGGAGCACAGTTTGGCATCTTTTCCGTGGACACAAGATGACCTTGTCCCAGCACAGCTTGCACCCACTTACACACAGTTTTTGTTTTGCATTTCCAATGGTGTACGTGGATTTAGAAAACTGAAAGACCTGAAAAAGATTGAGTTTTCTCTGAGTGCTCTGGTGTTCATGTAGTGGAAAAAAGCACAATTCTCCCGCAAACTGTGCAAATGTAAAGCCAGGAATACACGCTAAGAAAATGATCGACCGATTTTCTCTTCAATGATGAGCAGGATGTTATAACCGATAACGATGTTGTGAACGAAAAAATCCGGTTGAACGACAGTGAAAAATGTCGTTTCGCATGCGAACGACCAATTTTCTATGCGGTGGTATGACGGTCGTCCGGAAAAAATCTATCAAGCGCTATCACGTATGAGCGGAAACAGAAGATGACCCGGATGTTTATGTCCAAGGATCCATAAACCCAATTTAATCCAATTATGTCCAAATGTCCAAGGATCCATAAATCCAATTAATTCCAAGGATTTATGTCCAATCACTCGTTCTGGGCAGCAGGGCGCTGAATGCTTGTTCTGGCCGGAAGGGCGTGGCTACAAGGTCCCATGCACACTGCCAGGGGTGGACTGACAACTCATGGGGCTGCCAGGCAATAAGGGATCATGGGGCCCCTGTGTCCTTGCCCAAACTCAAAAAAGCCTATGAACAAGGTACCAGGGGCATCTCATGGTGCCCCCTACTGACCCCGGGCCCTCGGGCAATGCCCGGGTTTCCAAATGGTCAGTCCGCCCCTGCACACTGCATCACTTCCACTTGTACGGAAGACATCAACACTACGTATTGCTCGACAAAAATTATTTATTTTTTGATTGGTTAATGTGGGCCACGATTTCAACCAACGAACGAATGCCGATCGGTCGTCGGATGACCGATTGGTTGATTTTCTTACCATGTATTCCTGCCAGTGTAGCCCCAAAGAACCTTTTTATACAATAATGTCCTGGTGTCACAGTATTAGACTTATTTGACATGTATCTAAAGAGCAGGGGTCTCCAAACTTTCTAAACAAAGGGCCAGTTTACTGACCTTCAGACATTAGGGGGGCCAGACTGTGGCCAGTGGGGGTAGAGGAGGTCTCTGCTGTCAGTGGGAGAAAAAGTGCCCCATTGTTGGTGTCATTAGGAGAAATTCTGCCCCATCATTGGTGTCACTGGGCCCCATCGTTAGTATAATTGGGACAAATTGTACCCCTTCATTGGTGTCGGGGGGAAGGGGGGATTATACCCTGTGGTTGATGTCAATGGAAGGAATAGTGCCCCAAGGGCCAGAAAAAAGCAAGCAAAGGACCATATCTGGCCCCCGGCTGCGGTTTCGAGACCACTGCTATAGAGGGAGCATACTATCTTAGTGGCATTGCTGTGCCATCTTGTGGTGTATTTAGTTTGCTGCAGCTTGATTCTGCAACATCTCCAGTATGACTCCAGAGCAAAAAGAAAAAAAAACCCTCAAACCCCAAGATTTTTTTCTGCACTTTTTTTTAGGTTGTAGATTCACCTGACAGATATAAAATACAATGTGATACAGTTAAAGCCAGGGGCGGACACGTAGGCCAACAGGTAGAGAAAATAAAATCTAACCACGTGCCAACCTTCCATAGTACATATACCGTGATGAGGTGGCTCCTACACAGGGGTGGATTGACAACTCATGGGGCCCCCGGGCAATAGGTGATCATGGGGCCCCTGTGTCCTTGCCCAAACTCAAAAAAGCCTATGAAAAAGGTACCAGGGGCATCTCATGGGGCCCACTACTGACCCCGGGCCCTCGGGCAGTGCCCGAGTTTCCAAATGGTCAGTCCGCCCCTGGTTAAAGCAGTATAGTATTAAACTAAAATGCAAACATGTATTATATTGCAGATTACCAATTCGTAGATGTGGTGGCCGCTTCAGTTTTCTTTTTTAGGCTTTCTTTTTTGTATTTTCATCTGGTGATCCAGCCAGTAAGTCTATTGCTTTTTCAAAAGAACAAGCTCTGCTACAGAATGTATCAGTTTATAGGTATGGCACAAACCATTTGCTTCTGACAGGGGTACTTAAAATGATCAGCTTTATTTATTCCAAAAGGAAAAAACGTTTGCTTAACTGAGAAAGTGTGAGCTGGAGTTTGGCTTAAATTTGTTAGTGTATCTAAATCTGCTAGTACATCCAACACTTCCCTCTCCTCAGACTGACAATGCTGCTGTGCAAAAGAGCCTCCGTCATCCAGAGTCGAGGAGCTATAATATAGGAGGTGTGTTACTGGCCAGATCACCAGGTGAAAACCCCTAAAAAAAAGCCTAATGCAGCCACCACATCTAATGATGGGTAAGCTGCAATATATTTTTTGTTTTGGGTTAATAGTTAAAAAAAAATGTAGTTACTGTATGTATTCAACAATACCTCATAAAATGTATGTTTTTCAACACATGCAGCATCCAATCCCAGTAACGGACTGCAAGGACCACTGATAAAAAAAATAATGTGTTCGCACGGGACGGACCCGTTTAGCGGATCCGCTTGCTGAGCAGGGGATCTCTCCGCTGATCCTCGCTGAGCAAGAGGATGACAGGTCCATGTCCGCTTCGCTGCTGCAGAGCGGACACAGAGCTGCTCGCTCTCCTCAATGGGCGGTCAGATGAAAACAGACCGCCTGTCCATTTCATCCGACCCGATCCGACGGACAGAAGGGGAATTGGATCCCCATCCGTCCCTTTTTTGTGGGTCGGATCAGATGTTGGCGGGTGTAAATGGACATGTTGCTCCATAGAAGAAAATGGAGGTTCCGGTCGGGTCCGTTCAGGCGGACCCAATTTGAACGTCCTCGTGAAAGAGCCGTAATTGTATGTAGTTTTCATTTGCATTATCATTCGATTTATATTTATCTTCTTTTACATGTAGACCAAGCTATTTGGCCAATGAGACAGTGACACGGGTTGGGAGTCACTATAATATCAGCAGGCGTGCTTCAGCACTTGCTGCAAAGATCTTTCAAAAAAGCATCAAAGCTTAAGTTTGTTCCACTTATATTCTGCTTCTGCTGTTTGCTCCCCCCCCCCCTCATCAACATGCTAATTGCTTTTTTTTAATTTTGTTTTATAAAACTGTTTAGATTTTATCACATACTTTATTTTAGACCCAGTGACATCATCACTGGGTCTTTGTGCTTCCCCATCCAATGCAGGCAGATGGTGGCTGGTATCTGGGAGGGATCAGCAGGGTGCTATACATAGCTTCTTGAAGACAACACAAGTGCCCTGCCTCAATATTCCTCTCCAGAGCCTTCAACCTCTGATGTAAAAAGTGGGCTGGATCTTGGGAGGAGTTCTGCAAATATCAAATGCATTGATAGGTGGATATCAGTCTGTAGGAGTGGTTGTTCCTAGGTAGGCTGTATTTGCATACAGACTGCCCTAGGTAATGCTCACTTTTGCTGCTGAGCCTCCATGATTTGAATAAATGAAATTCAATAAATTATCCCCTTGGTGCCGGCACCTCCCAGCCCTTTAAGGGGTTTTTGATGCTGGGAGGTGGGGCAGTGTTTAGGGTCATGTGACAAGGGCTGCTGTTAGAAACCACAAGGCCTCTTACAGCCAACCTGACAGGGCCCAGGCCTTGTGTTAGAAACCACAAGGCCTCTTACAGCCAACCTGACCATTTGGAAACTCGGGCACTGCCCGAGGGCCTGGGGTCAGTAGGGGGCCCCATGAGATGCCCCTGATACCTTTTTCATAGGCTTTAGTTTGGGCAAGGACACAGGGGCCTCATGATCCCCTATTGCCCGGGGGCCCCATGAGTTGTCAGTCTGCCCCTGGTTTGTGGCCTCAAGCACACTTGGGTTATGCAGCAGGAAGTTTAGGGGGCAATTACTTTTTCACACAGGGCCAGGCAGCGTTTTTTCCCTTAACCCCTTTGCATCGGTGCCTCCCGGCCCTTTAAGAGGTTCAGAAGTCGGGGCGGGGTTTTAGGGTCATGTGACCACTTTGATTCGCTGTCACAGTGGTCACATGATCAGAAAAGGTCCCGATCACAAGGGGAGATAAGGACCTTTCCGTGAGTCATGACATATGTGCTGGGAGCGTGCAGGGCGCGTGCTCTCCGCACATATATATTTTCAAATGATATGCAAATATGCAGTCGCTCGGCGTCAATGCCCAGTTGCTGAGAGGCCGCATATTTGTGTGTGCTCAGCGTCTACGGGTTAATAAATGAAATCATCATTTAAAAACTGCATTTTGTATTTACTGGGGTTATCTTTATGTAATATTAACAGTTCTTTGATGATCTGAATCATTTAAGTGCTTTTTTCATATCACTGCATATAGTATTATAACATTGCTATAATTGCTATACTTTTTTCCTCCCAGGTCTTTCAGCCTCAATGCTCTCTCTACACACTGAAGAATTTTTTGATCTCCTCTCGATTGCACAGACCAGGCGTCTAGATGAACAAAGAGCCTCACTGCCTGAACGAGTCCTCCAGCCAAAGCGACATTTTTCGATGCCCAACTATCGCCAGTTTTCTCTTCCCCTTGATGACAGAGGGATCGTTACTGAACTGCAGAGGAGGAGAGGAGGATCCTGGGCTGGGCGGAGTCGGAGGAAAAAGCCTCCTTCCATAAAAATACCCGCGCAGGAGGAGCTTTACAACACTATCCTAGGGCACCAGGTGAGAGCAGACGTGAAAAATACTGTTTTATTAAAGCTTAACTGTAGCAAGCACTTAATTTTTTTTTTTTTTTTTGTTATCGTTGTCCCATTCAGGAGTTTTCTTTTCTCTTCCGGTCCCTGAGACACATGACATCTCTCCAAAGAAGGGGAAATCTTAGTCTTAGGCAGCTAATACTGGATCAGGTGTCCCAATTGGGAGATATCCCCTCCGTTCTCATTCTGGTGACAACTGTAAATATTTGGTTTTCCTTTCACTTTCTGTTCTGAACAAATAGAGAGGATGAATCACCCCAGTGGGGTCAAAAACTGACGGAGGATTTAACTCTTTCCTATTATGTCTATACCAGCCCAACTCTATGCAATTTTTTTTTAAAACAGCGTTTAGAAGGTTTAGAGCCTCTAGGTTTTTGTTGCTGTCTGTGATTCTATTGAGGAGATTTCCATTTACTGTGTATCTCAATGACCACTCCCAGTGAAACTAGGACAAGAAATGATGGAAATGGAAATAGGAAGGTGCACATAGCAATGCCAACCCGGCCATGATTCTAAACTTTCCCCCCACATACTAGAAAAAAAAGGGTTTTTCTTGTAGCTGTCTCCACCCCCAATAAAGACATTTCCCATCACTTCCTGTCCCCTCTGACACCCTGTCATGGAAGTTAGTGGAAATCTTCCCAATGGGAACACAGAGAGTTGAAACCTGAAATAAGTTCTAACCTTTCCTCATTATATACGAAAAAAGGTTTGGTTGGAGTTGTATATACAAATGTAGCTACCCTTTGTCCCCTTTGACAACGTGCACGGGCACGAAATGCATTAGGGAGGTGCCCTTACCCTGTGACGTCACTCCGCACGGCCCACGTGGACGGCCGGTGGCCATCTTGGATTTCTCTGCCAGCCCCTAGGCTGCAGCATGTGAGTTTATTTCAGTGTTATACACCCCCTCTGTTCAATAAAAGTACTACACTATTGGGATTTTCTGTGTTTGGCTCGTTACTCTCGAGCCCCCCCCTCCAAGGCATACCCCGATGACCTGGTGGCTTCTACATTAATGGTGAGACTGGCTCCCCCTGCTAGTGAGAAGAGCGCTTTCCCTGGTACCTGGAGACCCTGATGGTGTGCTACCTGCCTAGCTGACGCTGGTGCTGGCCAGATGACCCCCACTGTGTTCCAGTTCCCAGATGTGGATGACCAGGAGTTGGTTATAAATTACTCAAATGCGCATTAAATTGCACTTTCTGGTTAGTGCAATCTACACTCATCACCGTATAAGGATCACGGTCACAGATTGTCACCATTTATCAATAGTTTGCCTTGCATGTCGCCATTACCACCACTGTGTGCACTCTATAACGCTGACTTTGGACGTTTGCACTTGTCACTATTCGTTGCGCCATTGAGCGTCATTTTATTCTATCATTACCTATATGGCATTTAGCTATTCATTCCTTGATTTAGAGGATTGAGTTTTTATGAGTCTGATGTTTGATGTTTTTTCTTATGTACCTATAATTTTTACTAGCGCTGCATGTTTCATTTATTTGTAGTTTCTACGTGTTGGCCACCTCACGTTGGCCAACATGTAGAGAAAATAAAATCTAACCACGTGCCGAACCTCCATAGTACATATACTGTGATGAGGTGGCTTCTACAGGCACCGTAATGTACCTGTATGTCTCTGCCTGTTTCCAGGTTTCTGGTGCATGCATGCACCCCCGCCTACCTACTCCCCTGTGATTTGACACAGCAGGAGTCTGTCAGCAGATCCTGGCCAACAATTCAAGGCTTTGAACAGAGGGATTGATCACTGTATTTCTTTTCCCTGCAGACCAGGGAAAAGAAACAAATTGACCTGTAGTATAATTCAGCATACATTACAGATTGTTAGGCAAACAGTTCATTTTCATTCCCCCCGAGATGTTAAAACCTTCCCAGCCAGAGTCTTTAGTACAGTGACAGTGTATAATATTAGCACTGATCACTGTATTAGTGTCACTAGAGATGTCATTGACAGCTAGTCAGTTCCCACCCAGTGTTAGTTAGTGTCAGACTGCCAGCCGCACTCTCACAGTCCCACAATAAGTTTTTGATCACCGCCATTACTAGTATAAAAAAAATACATAAAAATTCCAGTATATATATTTTTTGGATACTATAACTTTCACGCAAACCAATTAATATAGACTTATTGGGATTTTTTTTATTAAAGATGTAGCAGAATACATTTGACCTAAATTTATGAAGAAATTTGATTTTTAAAATTTTTTCATTGAATATTTTATAGCAGAATATAAAAAAATATAGCTTTTCTGTCAAAATTTTTGTTTATATAATAAAAAATAAAAAAACCCAGTGGTGATCAAATACCACCAAAAGGAAGATCTATTTGTGTGAAAACAAATTATATACCGGTAAATGTCATTTGAGTACAGTGTTGCTTGACTGCGCAATTGCCGTTTAAAGTAGTGCAGTGCTGATTAGCAAAAAATGGCCTGGTCATGAAAGGGGTACAATCTTATGGAGCTTAAATTATTAATATAAAATATAATACGAGTTTGTTAATTTTTACAATGTATGGAGATTTTTGGGACACCCTGTAATTTTTCATTGAGAAAAAAAATTATCTGAAAACAATGCATCCTCTGTGGAACTTATTTTTATAATCTACATTTCTTTCCTATAGTCTCAGCGAATGAACGACCAGCGCAGTTCTCCCCCGATTCCTCAGGCTGCAGCAGATCTGTTTGAGATCCTATTCCGCGTTCAGGGAAATCGCCTGGATGAACAAAGAGTGGAACTACCAGCCCCTCTAAAGGGAGCTTGTGCTTAAGAAGAGGCTAGGAAGAGCGTGATTTCTGGTCCGGCTGTACTTTTACCACTTGTAAACTGTGAAATTGTCACTGTAGAAACAGGTCCAAATGGGGCCATCATTGATCTCCAGAGAGTGGACAATACAAAGTGGGGGTCATTGCCTAGAAAATCAGATGTTATTTCAGGAAAAACACAAATTGGATATGTGATAACCACCTTTAAATGGGGACCACCTTGGAATTTGGGGAACAGAAGACACTTCTTAGACTTTAGTTCTTAAACCAGTTTGTAAGCGTGAATAGTGTGGTTAGAACTGTGTGATTTTCTCAGAAGTGTTTTTTTTTAATAGCTCTACCTTGTTGTAAGTCACTGGGATAATGTTCTGGTAGCTCTACCACTGGATATTTTATAATGCAACAGATAGATGGGAAATAAAGGGGTGGGCACAAGCAGACACTGAAATCTATGGAGAGAAGTGAAGGACATGAAGGCTGTCCATTAGTATGTGAGAAGGAGAATGCTGTAGCCCTAAGTGAAAAGCTATCTGGTCAGTTTGGCTCTTCTAGAGTTGATATTAGTAAACGCACTATATAAAACCAGTTTAAAATAATTATTATCCATTATTAGCAATGTTTTGGTGAACTTCCTATTCACTCCTGTCACTGACTCTTACTTTCTGAATAAGTTACATCAAGACAAGGTAGTCAGTTTGACATATCTTCTTTGCCTCCCTCTTCCCATCGCTAGGTTAACCTAGTCAGCTTGACTTATCCCTTTAAATAGGCCAAGCACAGACAGCATCAGCGACTAGAACAGCTTGGTGGAATAGCTATGCTGTGTGTATGCTGGGACTGTTTATTGAAGCGACACTTCATGCATAGTAATGCCATCCTGTCTAGGAATGGTCACATCAACAAAAAATGTTTAAGCTATTTGAAATACCCAATTTATTCATATATGGTACTTCCTTGATACTTTTTAGAATTTGCAATAGTTCAAATAAAGCCAGTTTAGATGACACATGTTATTGAAGTTGTTTTACCCCAGTGGAGGCAGATTGTGTATGTCACCATAGAGTTTCTTCCAATTTTGTATCCCACAGGAGTAGCACTGCAACCATTTTATTACAGTCTTTGGCTGGGGTTGGAAAACTGTAAGGCGGGGGGGGGGTTCTGTGACATCAGAAATGATAAAGAGAACTTTAAGTGTTAGACATGCTGTAGATTTATTACTGTGGAGAGCACAGTCAATCTGCTCAGAGTAGGAGCACCAACATCAGATGTTCTCTGCTGCCTTCTAAATTTCTCACTCATCAGCAGGCAGCTTTCAGGAAGAAGGGTACTGGTGATGTACCTCTCTTCAGGAAGAGTATTGATGACATGTCTACCATGAGCAATGGTACTTTTGACGTACCTTCAAAGAAAAAAATAATACTGGTGACTTAGCTAATATTAAGAATATTGCTGATGTACTTCCTACGAACAATAGTAGTGGCAACGTACCTCCAAACAAGAAGTGTACTAGTGATGTACCTTCCATGAGGAAGAGTATTGGAGATGCATCTCCCATGAAGATGAGTACTGGTGATATATCTTCCATGAGGTAGAGTATTGGAAATGTACCTCCCATGAAGAAGAGTACTGGTGGCGTACTTTCTATGAGGAAAAGTGCTTCTGAAGGAGCTTCATTGAAGAAGAGTACTGGAGAACTCCCTTCCATGAGTAAGAGCACTGAAGACATATTTCATATGAAGAGTGATGGTTACATGCCTCCCATGAAGAGTCCTGATGATGTTCCTCCAATGAAGAAGAGTCTGGTGAAGTCCCTTCCATGAAGAGTCCTGATGACGTTCCTCCCACGAAGAAGAGTACTGGTGACGTACCTCCCATGAAGAGTCCTGATGACTTTCTTCCCATGAAGAAGAGTACTAGTGATGTACCTCCCATGAAGAGTCCTGATGACTTTATTCCCATGAAGGAGAGTACTGGTGACGTACCTCCCATGAAGAGTCCTGATGACTTTCTTCCCATGAAGAAGAGTACTAGTGATGTACCTCCCATGAAGAGTCCTGATGACTTTCTTCCCATGAAGGAGAGTACTGGTGACGTACCTCCCATGAAGAGTCCTGATGACTTTCTTCCCATGAAGAAGAGTACTAGTGACGTACCTCCCATGAATAAATGTGCTACAGACTACTGCAATGAAGCAGTGCACCAGCAAAAGACATTTGTCCATTGCTAGAGCATAGAACACTTATTATTATAATAAGAGTCTCTGGAAATAATTTTTATTCAACCAGTGAAACTGTATTATTTTTTATTGCTGTATATCACATTGAGGATGGATATCACTAACTTCTGGCTCTGGTGATAGGTCTGCTTTAAAATGGCCTTGAGACAATGCCACTATAACCCCCCCCCCCAGTGACAAATGTATCTCATTAAAGCATCCTTTCCTTGTTTCTTCCTCTCCTATTTGTTTCTGGACTGTGACTTTTACAATATATTTGAAGTTGGTATTTTACCATAATAAAATTCCGAGCTAGCCCTGACCATAAAGGGGGAGTACCGGCAGCCACAATCCCCTTATTTAGCCTACTGTCACAGGACGTGGACACAAATCTCACTTGAGAAAAGCACTTGGGCTTGTACATTGGTCATTCGCACATTTCAGTTACCAAGACATTACCATATGTAAGAAGATATCATCCTTTTGTATAACTTGAAATATGATAGTAATTTATCTGTAATGCTTCAAAAAAATACAGATTGTCCTCTAGAAGTGCTATATCGCTTCTGCTGTAAAACCGTCATGAATAAATATGGAGATTTTACTGTGTTATCTGCCTGAAGAGGTTTCATCTGTCCGTTCTCTGTCCCTCCAAGGGAATTCGGGAACTCATAAATTCTTGACACAACCTCAGATGTCATTTTATGTAATGCTTCTTTTTCATCATAGTTGACAATTGGAAATTAAAGTTGGGTCACCTCAAAACTGATAAAGTACAATTTATGTTTTTATTAAAAACAGCATGGGGTATTGTTTACCACACGTTAAGTGACAATAGCTAATAAGATGTCACTTTTCATAAATCTGACTACAATAGCCTGTATTCTGATTGTTCTCTGGATTCCAAACTATTGACATTGCCATGAAATGGTCTCTAACAATGAGTGAGTGGGGAGCGTTTCAAGCACAGCTTCAAGTATTCAACTTTAAATAAACAATGTGGACATATGAATTGCTTTCCTGCCCATAGAGTTAGTGTATCTGGTGGTCTGGTTTGTCACCTATGCCATGATGTCATAGTCAGAGTGGCATTTTCAACTTTTTGGTCATGACACCATTTAAAAGCATGGAAAATATCAAGGCACCCCAGTGTAAAATGTAAAAAAAAGAAATGTTGCTTAACAATAGGTAGTCTGAGCCGAAGCACACAACCACCTTGATGACATTTAATTCACATCAGAACCCACTCTTCATGTCAGAGTCACCCCTATGCTTTAGAGGCTCCCCATCACCAAACCCCCCCGTCAAAGAGCCAGAGGTCCCATCACAACAAAGTCCCTCCTATACATGAGAGCCCCCTCACATCAGAGTACCCTTATGACGGAGTCCTCCCATCACATCAAAGACCCCCACCACCGCCACCACCACAGAGCCTCCACCCTCCTGGAGTCCTCTGATCCATCTCTGATCCAGGGCAAACAGGGTCTTGTGCTTGTAGCACCCTGGATGAGAAACACTGAGACAGAGCACACCACCACTGCTGCTTTCAGTGTCATTTGCCTACTTAATGCAAAAATAATTTAGAAGTGTAATGGCGCCACTTCATTGTCTATTGGAAATGGCAAACAGAACCAGGTAATAATCATATTCTACAATCAAACTAATTTTGATTGAAATGTATCAGAGAGGAGACTAGAAGATTTGTGAGTTGACTTTGTCAATTACGTTTTACAAAACATATTCCCGTGTGTGACCGCCATCTTTATCTTACATGTGGTAAAAACGAGATGACCAGTTGTCTGAACCCAGGACTGGCTCATCTAGATGTACTTGAGACCTTGAGTGGAGAAGCTGGAAGCTGGAATTTGTCAGACTTCTGCCTGACTATGTGGTAATTAACAAAAGGAGTGTCAGCCTGTTGTCTTAAGGGTTCACAATAAATTACTGTTATATTATAAGTTGAAGTGAAAGGAAAATGAAAAAACATGCTAACAAGTTTCGGGTGTCAAACAATCCTTCATCAAGGTTAAAAAAAGAAAATGAACGAAGAATAGGACTTTATTCTTAACACTTCAGGAAAGTGTTCATCGTCAAAAAATGGATCATCATAAGCCACAATGGATGTGTACTAGAGACACTCATGTAGTGGATTACATGTTGACTATTTTCATTCCTTTTCAAGCACCGATGAAAAGGAACTGTTTGGTCCCAAAACATGTTGGCCACTGTTTGTCTTCCTGTTATTTCAACCTAATCAGCAATAAATTATTGCAGGCTCTTGATTTCTCTCTGATTTATCAGTGGACCCCATTGCCCCTTTGTGGTTAAGCTGCTAGGGTTCAGTCATCAAGTACAACCATTCCTACCTGACTTATGGACAGTGAATCTGAGTCCTGTAGAAGGGAGAAGTCAATGCCCACAATGCCACAGGACAATCAAACCCCTTCCAACTTCCACTGGACACTCTTCAGGAACCTCTCCAGACCAGGTTCTTGGGTGAAATTTAGAAGTGCCCCCCCCAGCTATGCCACAGCTAGGATCTTGATGACCATGTAGCAAACTCAGCAGCCTGCCCAGAGAGGCAGAGCCCCTCTGGCTGGGAACTGCTTTAGTAAGACAAAAAAAGATGGCTGCTCCAGGCCCCAGGTTATTTACATGCTCTTCAGCCACCTACTGTGTACACCTCCCCAGGGATTGGCTGAAGTTCCATAAATATTCAGACTGCTTATTTGATTTTCCTCTATGATTCTAGAATACTCTAGAATACAGGGCGAAACAATCAAACCTACA